CATTTTTAAAATCTTCCGGAAGATAATTTTTCAACAGGAATTAAATCCGAATGTAGAAGAATAAAAGTGAACATTAATTTGTACTCATTTATTTCTGGATTTTATGGCACTGATTTTTTGTCAAAAAGTATTGGCGCCACCCAGATTGGAAACGGATCGAGCGTTGTTGGCCGTGAAAGCGGACGAGCAATTCAATCTAATCGCGCTCTCTTTTTCGTGACAATCTCGTTCCCACCCCCATCTCTGATAATAACATATGCTCTTCGTATATTTTATCGCGATTATTGCGTTACGCCGCGGAACAACGGTTCAAGCGCGTGCTTTTTAATCGAAAGGTTGGACAACGCCCGGTTGAAAAACAATGGCAAATAACGATGGCGTATCGATATCTCTCGGACTCGAGACTTGTTACGCCATTTTCAGGCCGATTTTCAGATAAAACCGAGAGAGAGAGAGAGAGAGAACAGGATCTGGCGTTTAACGCGCAGTGGGCGGACAATTGTCGGGTGTTAAATCATAACTCGGTCAAGCTTCGACATCCCCGACGACACGCGTGGGCGTTTCTTCTTCTTCGCGAAAAATCCTCCCCTCCCCCCCCCCCCCTCGACAATTTCCTTCGCGCGGAAATAAATCAGCACGGGGAGAGGGAGAGGCATAGCTGTCCTCGTGTTTTATCGTTTTGTTTTATTGTACAACATTTACGCCAATGTTTGCAACGTTGACGTAGTCGTTGCTCGTGGACTGGACGCTGACTAGTATATCCCACAAGGTTATTATTTTTACTATACGATGTAATTGTATATATCATACACGATATAATTGTGTATTTTTAGTTCTTCGTTAATTACAAGTAAATATGATAAAATTATATTATCAGATTGTATAATTTACAAAACGATTCTATCTAAAATTATTCGAATTCGCGGCAATTCTCTTCGGTCGAGCGAAAGTTTCGTTTCGATCATTCATCCGAAATTTCGCGCACGGATCGCAACGCAAAGTTGGAATGTTCGATGATAACGTTGACGCAACGTCGGGCACGTGCTTCCTACGGCGTTAAAAGTAAAAGTCTCGTTGTAATACGCGTTGGAACAGGGGAAGCGGATGGGCTCCGAGTTTTGACAAATCGAGACATTTTGATTTCGATTTATCCCGATATCGATACGAATTAAGATAAAGCGATAATGATACGGATCGATCGATCGTGGTGAAAAGTGCAGCAATTTCGAGCGTCGTGGAAAAGGTGTAATGAATCGTTTTCGAATCCAAATATGGATCCTCGTTCATCGATCGAGAGCCTTGCTTGAGAATAATACCCGGGTTCCGCACCTTGTTATTACGCTTCTCTTTGCTTTGCGTATATTATTGTCCCGTTTTACGACCGCGAACGCTCGTAATGGATGGCTTAAGGGCGTGTTAATACCCGTGCCTTAAATTTATAAGATTTACGACACCTGGCGTCTACTTACTTTCCTCGACACGCTACTTCTACTTTCTAGCTCGTACGAGGGATTAAAGGGATTCAGAATCAAAAAAGGGCCGAAATTTCGAGATTTAATTTCAATCCTTCGACGATAATCGATCGTTGTTGTCGTCGAAACCAAGGATAATGGAGGGAGGAACCGATACCGGTGCATCGGCCACGGTAAATTGGCCACGGGTAATTGGCGAGCGCGGGCATCGATGGATAATGCGGCGAGGATACAGCGTCGTAATAGGGAAGAGAAGCGCGTATGTACATGCCGCGGTAAATTCTGCCTGGTAATTGCGAACGAGAGAAGGAAAAAGGGTATGTGTTTGCGTGGGTGTGCTGATGGAAGGAGAGGGAGTTTGTGGATCCGCGCAATTGCAAGGAACGCGAATTACACGAGGATATCCTTTTAAAGGGGAGGGAATTCTATCCCCCTTGTTGAACTTCACCCCGCGTTCGTGAGAAACGTTTCGTAGAGCGCTCGATCCTCCGCTTGAACAATTTGCCAGTGGAAGAGTCGGATGGATGCGCGATTTACGGTTCATATCGCGTCTCGAGATTCCCAATAAACACGGGATCCTATGATTGGTCGCGTGAACGGTGGACAAGTATGGGCGGTTGAAATAATTGCGAGAGGCAGAAGTGCAATAGCGCGGGTGCAGTTGGAATCCGCAGGGGGAAAGGATAATAGCCGTGGAACGTGTCCACGGCCACGGCGGGTATCGTGTTCCTTCGGATAGTGGACGGCAGAGTGGAGAGAGTATCGGTTTTAATACGCCGCGCGTACATAATTTAACCATCGGGCTCTGTCGCCGGATAAAATATCGTCGGCCGGCTTCCACGCACCTTCGTAATCCGCCCTTTTAAAGGGCGGCGAATTAAATTAGTCTGCGGGGAGGATAATATAATCGAATGCGAAGATTAACACTCGAGAAGAATTTTAACAAAATTTTGCATCGATCGAATTTGAAGACGAAGGCGAGTAATTTCGAATAAAGAGACGTCGAATCACGAGGGATAATGGAAAAATGTTCAAGAGATTTCCTCTGGCCGCACCACCTACCTAAACGTAATCTCGGCAATATTTCTAACCGAGTCCTTGACGCCGAGGTTGAGATTGGGGGCGGATAAATTACGGGGCGTAAACTGCATCCTGGCAGTAAATTACTCGATAGCGGTAGACGATACCGTGGCGCCTACGCGCTAAACCGCATCCACTTCCATAATCCCACCACTCTTGATCCACGACATTCCTGCGACGAATACCAACCGTCGCGATATCCCATTTCTACGTACTTCTCTTCTCTCCCCTCCGACAAATTTCAAATCCTCCAAATTCCACAATTTTCCCCCACAATTTTTCGATTTCATTACTCGATCGAGCCGAAAAAGAGTGTTAAACTTTCATCTCGCTCGATTAATAATTTTATCCTCCTTTATCTCCGAGAGAAGGGAATATAATAGTTGTTTTATATATACGAAAGAGCGTGGGGCGAATACAGTGGTAAGGGAGATCGGTGGGAGATGGAATAAATTTGAATACTCGTCGCGGCAGGCACGTGGCGGCGCTCAGCTGTTTTCACGGATAACATCTTCGTCATCTTACGCCGCGTATAGCGGTGTATTTCTAGCGAGGAAAAAAAAAAAAAAAATATCGATAACCACCGTCGAAGGTCGGATTCCATCGGATCTCTGCATTCTATTAAAGCGTTATCGTCTCCGTGTATCTTCACACGGGAAGGAGAAGGCCTACTCTGCGTGCGTGCTTCGTTAAGCCACGCGTAACGAACAACATTTTGATCCCCGATAGATCTTATTAACGGCACGCGATCTTACCACGACTCCCTGCTCCAAATTAATACTTTCGTCGCGTAAAATTTGACAATCGACGAACGTTGTCACGTTACGTGTGTAATTCCTTACGGTGATTTCTCAACCGTAATGTAATTTAATATCGTTCCATCTATCGAAGTTCACGCGCATGCGCGTTAAACCGATGGGAAGATAGATTCTATCCACCGTTTGTGAGAGCTTCTCCACGTCGTTTTCCACGTCAAGTCCGTCCGTGTTACCGGAATGCAACTACGATGCCGTTAACGTCGCCGCTCTTTGCGCAAATCATCCTCGACTCGTGATTTCGATTTATATAAATCGAATCTCTTCCTCGATAGGATCGTCAAGGTTCACCGCGGCACCACGATCCATCTCAAGTTTTGCAACAAGTTTGCCAACAAGTTGGCCGCAACATCGGGTTCGCCTTCGCGTTATCGCGGGGGATCGATAGGATCCAACGATAAGATTTTCATTCTCTTTGGAACTTTATTGGTTATTTTCGAACGCTAACGTTAACTTGAGAATTTTCCTATTATATACGAGCGGTTTTTCTTCCTTTTTTTTTTTCCAACAACAATCGAAAGGGAGAAACTCTTGCAACCTTGTGCGATTTCGTTTCTGCGAAATCTTATTGTTCACTTTGTAGACTTTAAGACGGAAATTGGAAATCGAGAGATGCGGAAAGATAATTTTCTTTCTCTTCGAGAATGTGAAAAATAAAAAATGTTTAAAAAAGACATCCCTCGGAAAAGAGCCGCTAACGAGCGGATTTTTTCCCCGAGGCAGCCCTTAAACGGATTAAAACCAATTTAGCTATTCGAGGAAGCATTATAGAGCCTGTCGCCGTATTTGGACCTCGGTCGAGATGGGAATCGTGAAAAAAAGAGGTTCGCGCGCACCCTTGGGGCACACCCTCGGGGAGCAAAAGCATTTTGCTTAATTTCCGTGTGTACCAGTTATCCAACGGGCCCAACATTACGTAAACTGACATTTTCGCGGCTGATGCGAGTTAGCTGACGAACGAAGTCGACCCGCGAGTCGTTCAAAGCTCGATGAAAGAGTTTTTCTTTTTTTTTTTTTAAATTTTCCTCGCATCCTCGATACACAGATTTCGCAATACGAATCGAGTCTATCTTTCATTCATCACGAAATTTCGATGATTAATCGAAATTTAATATAATCGATAAAGGATGCACATTTTATCCTTTGGAATCACTTTTATCTAAAGTTTTTCAAGTTTCTTTAAACCTCGCTCCGAAATACCTATCGAAGAAATACCAATTGCGCATTATGTAACGTAAACTATTCGAGATACGTATTTAAATACGTCGCATACGTTGCCGTTCACCTACTGGGAATTAGTTTCCTCTTCGACCTTCGACGAGTGATTCGAAAGATCGAGGCGCGAAAGCATAAACTTTCGTTAAAATCGGAAGAATGCGAGCTATGCGATTCCACGCAAGCAACAAAGTGGGAAAAAAAAAAAAAAAAAAAAAAGAACGAGAGGAACATCGTGTTGTTTATACGATGATGTAATAAAGCGAAAATGCTTGGTTAAATATTCGATACAAGAAAAAAAAAAAAAAATTAGATTCGAAATGTTGGATAATATCTCATTGCGTCATCGCATAGGAATAAGAATGATAGATTGGAGATGATAGAAGAAGCGCGGTTCAAAGAAATGTCAAACACTCACCCACTCTCGACACGACCGCCAGCAGGAGCAACACGCTGCTCACGATGATCATCTTCGTCCCTCCTCGATCCCAACAGCTCGATCAATTCACGCGTGGAACTCTCCTCTCTCGGTTGGTAAATTGCCGGTTGCTTTTCCTTATTCTTTCGAATGATTCGCGCACAACCACGCGGGCGCGGGAAATTAAAAATGGAATGGCGATTCCGCGCCACCGTTTCCTTTCGTCCCTTTCACGATTTCGATCGGACGAACACTGGCCGTCTCTCGGTTTCCGCTCTTGTTGATCCGGTAAAAATCGGGCGGGGGGAAGAGAAAAAAAAAAATGAGGAGGAAAAGAAAAAGGAGGAGCAGCAGCTTCGATGTTCAGCGCCGTTCAAAGCCGGGAGAGCTCCATCGACGTCGCAAAACATATGCTACGGTCACGAAGAGAGAAAGGTGACTGGGTATACGCAAGGCGTGCTCAATACCTCCTGTCTTCTTGGCATAGTCACCTTTCTAGCAAAGCAGCAACAAAGAAGGGAGTGTTGGTACTATATCGCGTGGCCACCACCATTCGCGTGCTCGCGATCGCCGAACGAACGATGGTGGTGGGCCACAATTCGCGCTGGAGCTGGAGGTGGTAGCGGCGGCGGTGGTGGTGGTGGTGATGGCGCGCTCGAAAGTGATGGTGGTGGTGGGTACCGATCTTTCCACCACCAAATCCGCCTTCCTTCGATCAGATTTTTCCGTTCCTCGTATCGGTAACCCTGAAACCATTCTCGGCTTACGTGACCAACGAGAGAGAAAAGTTTCGCGTCGATCTCCACGCATCTCTTTCTCCTGCAAACGAATACCGAGGGTTAGTTTGGAATCGTCGAACACGAGATACGATCGTAAAATCGCGTGAAATATTCCCCACCTTTCTTCGCGGCTCTCAGGAATTTTTGAACGGTGTATCGTATCTCGGGAAGAATCGGGCGTGCTCGAGTCGAGATCTTCTCCCATGGATACAAATCTCTAATGAAAAGAAAGAGAGAAAGAAAAGAAAAAGGGCAAGAGGCGATGTTGCATTTATAATCACGGATAAAAATATGAAATAATATAGAATGAATTATAAATATATATTTTGCCTCTCACGAGCCAACGATTATATAGGTTTGTATAAAAACTTTATTTTTCTCGGCCATATAAAATCACCAATATTTGTTCAGATATATTGTTATTTTGACGAAAACTGCTCGTTAACTTTAAAATAGCCTTCCTATTAGAATTTAATATCTTTGATATTTGTAACAAACGCAATATGCGGACAACTTTTTGTTTGGAACAAAAGCGATCATTTTGCACAGATTCCCGTATCTAATTAAATTTATGTGGTGAAGAGTATGCAGGAAAGAAGAACTAGAAGATTTTATTTATGACGATAAATAAGTAATAAAAGAAAGAAAAAAAAAGTTACTTGTTATATATTATTGAATGATAAAAAATACAACGAATAAGAAAATATTTATTAAAAAGAATCCTTTATTCCTGCTGACCCTTCGAGCGTTAAAATCAGCAATACGATAAAAAATATAACATTTCCAGTAACATATATTATAACATCATCGCGATAAAGAAATGCCATTGGTGGAATTACACAGTCCTTTTTAATCCTGTATCCGATAATTACGAATATATCACATGATAATTATGAACATATCACATATATATATGTACATTATTTTCATTCCTTACACTGTGAAAACACAAATACGGCATCCAGTTTTAGCTACGTGGATCATGTACTTCTCCCTTGGATGTATCGATATAAATGAACGTAAACGACTAGACATACTTGCGATATTGTCACAAGTAATTTCTTACTTCTTTTCAAAGATCTCCTGAGAGCGATCGAACTATACATATATACGTATTCGAGACGAATAAAACAAAAATACGTAGTAATATACATACGTACAACAATACGTAAAATCTTGAAATACTTTCTACATATTCGATTACGAATAATCTGTGATCCTAGAATACATAGAGAAACTACGAACATACGGACAATGTTGGGTGTATACATTGAGAAACGAATGAAATGTTTTACATAAACTTACACTTATTGCAACAATGAACGTTGAACAGAGGTAAACATTCATGTTTTTCTTCTTTTTAAAACATCGAGCAAGATAGCGTTAATTATTGTTATTGAATTATAAAAATTGAAATGTAAAAAATTATATTTATATATCAATAGCTCTCAGACAGTCCACGAAGTCGTAATCTGTATTTCAGTTCTCGCGTTAAATAGATCCATCCCTGAGGCTACTAATCAAGACGTAATCCGGACATAGCTACACGTTTTGTTTGATTTATATAAAATATTATCTGCACGATAATTATTGTTTCAACGATTAGAGAAAAGTAAGCGTTTGATAAATTTGGTTTCGAGCGATTTCAATTGACTATAATTAGAATGCATTGTATGTAGCTTCCAAAGGCCGGTTTTTAAAAGTCGAAGAATTTGTCAAATAATGTTCGTTTTTTTTCTTTTTTTTTTTTTTTGTTTTTTCGTTTTATTAGTAACTATGAAACGATTCGTATGTACATCAATTGAACACGGTTATATATACAACAACGGTTGTATACCGTGGCTCGATTTAGATTCGAACAATATTACAAGATATCCCATACTTTGTACAAAAATTCATTTTTGCGAATATATAAAAGCGCAGAAAATCGCTATTCCTCAAGAATGAAAGACCTTCTTGATTTGCTTGATATAACCACTATAATACAATGGTTTCTTACTTACAACGATGTAAATGTTTCCTATACATTTTGGAATAGCCTCTAGCGCGCGCACGCGGCTGTAATTAGCAATATGCGCCACTATTTAATAGAAATATTCGAGGCTACAAATATAGGATGCCCGTTTCGAGGGTAAATAACTGTATAACTGATAAAATATCTTGTATAATTCTAATTACTAACTAATTCAATTTGCCTATATTTTTTGCGCAAGTTGCTTACAGAGTCTTTGAACAAAACAGGGTCAAGCCTCATATTAGATCGTAACAACGGCATATATCCGAAAACGGCTACAAACGTATTCATACACGTTTGTCGTTGTATAAAGTGATCTGGGTCATTCCATGGAGATCTGAAAATTTGATGGAACAAATAATTCCTGAAAATGCTTCATGAATATGACACTTTGCTACGCAGGTAAAACAGTAATAATGACAAGGGAGCGTACAAATTTTTTGGTTATATTAAACATTGACGAAAAAATTGAAAATTAAAATAAAAAAAGAAACAACAAAGAAAGCTCTATTTTAAATAGCAACAAAATACATACGATGATAACTACAAAACAAATCATGATAATGATAAAAAACATACTTTGAGAACACTTTGAAAATAAATTGTATTATTCTTCAATCAAATTTATCTTCTTTCAATCAAACTTAAAACTTATAATTTAATGTTGATGTAACTGTTTTTTCACTTGTTGATACAAACAAAAACTGATATAAATGCAACATATATTTTATTTTTTAATCTAAATTAAACTGTTAAGTCAAACGAACGTGCACGTCACTTCGATTCAATGGCGGAAACTTCGAACGGTTTGCTAACGGTTTACCAATTGTAATTCGATTATCGCAGAAGTAATCGATATTGTGAAAAATCGATTATACGATCTGTGATCTGATTGGTCAAGTTTAAATTATTAAAATTGCAACTTCACTTTGTTTCAATACAGTTATTATTGGTGGGAAATATGTTTGTTGTAGAAAAAATGGAAAATTGTTAAAGTATTTATTATCAAACGTTAAGAATATTCAAAAATCTTATTCACCTGCGTAGCAGTTCGATAATATAAGTGCGTAATACATACCTGATTCCTGCCACTGTGGTATCTTTATACAACTTTCGTTGAGTTACTTTGATAGGTGGTCTTCGCGTTACATGACTTACTAAAAAATTCATAAGTATATCCTCGCAATTTTGCGATTGCTCGACAGTCTTGTGAAGCGTCGAACTCAGTAATTCGGTATACAATGTATTATAATAACGATGATAAAAGGCGGCACCAGTTAGAATTATACTATAATCATTTGTCCATTTACTTGTATAACCCCATGAACGCTTCAAATATAAGAAGAAAAAAAAAAAAAGAAAGAAAGAAATTGTAAAAATAGATTAATATTTAAATGTAAAAATTAACGTAAAAATTTTAGAGAAAAAAAGTAAAAAGTGAAAAATGTTAAAGTAATTTACTTTTGAATCATCCCAATAATGTGATCTTGCTGGATAACCAACTATTCGATCAGGAAACGATTTCCATACCGTAAAGGCAAAATCAATTTCATCTGTATTGAGTGTAGCATCTTCATCTAGAGATAATATGGCACTAGTTTTGATTAATGGATGAGGATAGAAACGTTGAGATATACCATCAACCGTGAGAACATGTATTGATGCTTTGATCCCTTGCCATCGTGGTCTTCTTGGTAATGGAATATCCGAATTCCACATGAGAATAATCTAAAATAGAACGTGTATTAATATCAAGTAAAAAAAATAGATATTGATTTACACGATTAACTCACCTTATCTAGATATTTACTTTTCGCGAGACTCTTAAGCAGCCGATATAAGACAGCAGTAGATCCTAACTGCGAGTAGATGATGGCAGTGAAGGTATTACCTGGATTACTTTTCGAAAATGGAAGTTCTTGTTGACTATCAGCAAATTGTGGTAATATTGCTAATGCTCCAGGATTAGTATTCCAAACAAGCTTTTCTCTTGTACCTTCCCAAGGTAAACGCTCGCGAATATTCTATAAATTTGATAAAATATTAAAAAATTAAAAAGAAAGAAATTATTTTTTTATTGTTTTATAATATCATTCTAGATTATTATTATTATTATTATTATAAAGATTAATATTATTTTTATAACATTTTTATAACATTACCTCAAATACTGTAAATACAATTTTTTCTATCGACGAAAAATACCGTTCCCAAAGGAATTGCGTTTGCTGCCGTAATTTAAGAATATGCACATTAGACACAGACCGCACTATATCTGGAATCTAAGAAAATAGTATTTAAATATAGATTAATTTTGCTCTTTAATGCTTTGTATTAAATTTTATTTTGTTTTTATTTACTTGAAGTAACAGTCTTTCATCAGAAAATATAACAGCTTGTGTCCAATCAATTCGTTCGTGAAAAGGAAGTGCCCAACCATTACTTAAAATAACTGGAATGCATCCAGCTCTTAAAGCTTCTAAAAATCGAAAACTACCAAGTCTTCTTCCTCTTGGTACAAGACAAAAGGTAGCATTCATTAATAAAATTTCATAATCATACCTAAAATAATAAATCAAAAATAATTCGTTTTTAAAATAGTTAAATATAATATTTAGTTATAATTGGTTAAAATATTTTTTTTTAATACTTACATATCATATTCTTGATTATCTTGTTGACAGTGTTCATCTTGTAATTCTCTCCATGCTTTACCATGACGGCAAGTTGTAACAAACACTAAATCCTTGCCATTATGTAAATGATAAAGGGCATTTCTAGTTTCAGAACCTATACCATGGACGTATCTTTTACCCTTGAAAGCTGCAATGTATTTTTTATTATTAGGAAAATTATTTTCTAAAGCTTGTCCTGATTCTCCACCACGTTCTGGATGTTGTTTTCCAAACAATGGAATAGATATATCAAATTCAGGTCTATGTCTAAAAATAGACATGCTAGCCTTTGCAAGCATAGCATATCCTAAATCAAAGGCTAAAGATTCTTCTGCATAATCAGGCCATGTTCCAGAATACAAATTAAATATCAAATGATTTCTGCCATTATTCCAATATGGTAAACGCATTAATTTTGAAGGAAGATTATGCACAAATTCTGTTGATAATGGATCTCTATCCAATGTATCAAGAGCTAATACAAATATACATGCTCGAGTAGGATCTGATGTATAATATCTTGATTCTGTAATAACATTCAATATTTTTTGGTATAGTGGACTTATCACATCTTCAATTGGATACACATATACTGTGAAACCTTGCTTGCATTTGGTAAAGTCAAAACAAGTCTCCATACGGCATTGTTTTGTACGTTGAGACATAATTGGGTTTCCATTTGATGTTCTCAAATCCTTGTCATAGAATTCTTCATTTAGACTTAAATATGAAGGCAATCGCTCATAAGGCAACTGAGATCTGCCTGTCCACTTTTCACTTTTTAATCGATAACCACCAAAATAACAATAACCAAGAAACGCACATGTTACAAATAATAATAAATAGCGCTTCTTGGCTTGCATTTTTAATGCAATCAGGTTATACACCAATATACACTAATTTTAAACATTATTCTTCACATATAGAATGCATGGCATTTAATCATAAATGCATTATAATGAATCTGTTATTATTTTAATTATAGTATAAATACACAAATTCAAAAATTATTTCAAAATGAAATTGAATTCATTCTTAAAGATTGCTGAAACAGAATAAAAAAAAAAAAATTATTGAAAAAATAAGAACACTTTCATATTTGCACATACATTATTTTCAAATAAGTCTAATACAATAAACTTTCACACATTTATACTTTTAAATAACTGAATGTATCAAATAGTTTTTATAAAATTTTGTTTACAGAACTTTAAAATTTTTTTTATATAGAAACGTTGAATGGACGAAACACGTATTCAGTTACCTTCGAATTTGTATGACCCAACATTGGTTAACAGGAACGTTTCAAAAGTTGTGCTTATTATAAAATACATGGCTAAGGACGTATTATTTTTAATAAAACGTCAGCTTTATATTTATATTTATATATTACATTACGATTTAAAAAATGTTGAATTTAAATGACAGATTGTAAACGTCTATGGACGCTGTAAGTTAACCTATACGTAAATTATTACAGACGTTGTACACGAGAGCAACAACGTCAAACATATCGAGGTCGAAATTCGATGAAATAAGGTTGAGTAGCGATTCATACTGTCTTATAACAATATTTATCTCGTTAGAACAACACAATGAACTTTTTTCTTAGGTTAGTTCTGACGTATATCCAATTCGCAGAACTTGCCGGCGTTATTACGCCCATTCGCATTTTCGGTCGGCGTCATTACACACGCGTGACATCGATCGGAAAACGTCTCCAAGTGCAAAATCATTGCACGCAGCGCATTAAATAATTGGTTTAAAAAGCAACACGAGTTATGCAATGACGTTGGAACGATTAGACTGGCAAATCGCTTATTGGTTACTTCATGCCCAGCTTTTCAAGATGTTTGATTGTGTGCGAAATACTACTAACTACACTCCTACAAATCTAAACAAAACTGTCGATCAAGGTTATCCCGCTATCTAGTGGTCAAACAATAAACCTCCTGAACCGTTTTACCCGCTTCGATTAAATTTATTAAAAGCACATATTTTTTTTTTATTGTAAATCAATATTCTTTAAGGGAGATGTGTAACTTAGCATAAAGCTTTTATGATATCAATCAGAATGAGGGTTATCGTGTTACGCAAGAAATTTGTTAGAGAGAAAAAAGGAAAAATAAATCGAAAATGATGGATAAAAAAATTGATAAAATTTTTCATAAAATATTTACCTAATATATTTCTTAAAAATTTTCTTTTCAATAAATATTTTTATTTTTTGAGTTATTCCTCACGAACATTCTTGCACACTATCCGAGCAAATAATTTACTGTTTCTAAGTCAAGTCTATCGTATATCTAGTCATATAAGATGAAGATATTACCTTGAACTGCTTTTTATGACTATTTTTTTGAATACATGTTATTAAAATATAATTACTACATAGAAATATTTTTCAATGTGGAATTTCTACTTATCTATAACAGATATTCAATAATCTATTAATGTCAATGTGTTAATAAAATATTTATCAATATAATTTCCTATTATTATTATGTTTTAATGATTTTAATGATTCATTTATGTAAATATATTTTTTATTATTTATATCAACTTTGATCATTCTTTTCAGAATTTTTGTTAGTTTTTTTTAGAATGACAAAAATAATTAAGAATTTAATTTAATAAATTATATTTTTTATGATTATATTATGATTATATTATGATTATATTATCAATAATAGAAAATGATAATAAAAATCTAAAGTAGAAACATGTATATGTTTAATAATTAAATTTTATATTTAATAATAAAATTTAATAATAAAATTTAATATATTTAAAAATAAAGAATCTTATATATGTACATAAATAAATATATAATAGAATGATAAAATTTACATTTTGCTCATAACTTGATAATATAAAACTTTATTTTTTTGTAACAATTCTTCATTCTCATTTTAGTTTATCATTATTAAATTTAAAAGATTTTGATTTTCTAATATCGGGGTTTAATCTTGATTGTCATCCTTTTATAATTAATTCTTTTCTTATATCCAGTTCATATTCTGCTTAATTGTTGTAGGCTTAAACATGTAATTAAAAAAATGAGTTAAAAATTTATTTTTTATTCAATAAGTAAATAATAATATAATTAGTATATAAAAGGTACACATACCTGTTTTTTTTTGTTTTACTTTTAATTTAATCTTACATTCAATGTTTAAATATAAAATTAATTTTTTAATAAATTTAGAAATAAATTAAACATATTTATTACGATAATCATTATATTATATTTATATTATAATTAGGTTATATTTATATTTGAAATATGCTTAAAAAGCTATGTAAACATAAGATGCGTGCATTACTGCACGTGCGTAAACGGAACTGCTGGACTATACGAATGACGAATAAGGTGTGCTGATTCGTTAGTTTCAAAAGGAAAAGGTCAAAGAGGACATATTCTACGAGGAATGTTTACACTACTGTGTTAACGCCAATTTAACCAATTATTAATCAGTTCTCTTAGTCAGGAAAAGAATGATTGGTTTGTAACATATTTTGTTGGATATGTATAAGAAGATGAAAGCGACATCTACTCGTTAATGTGAACAAGTAAAAACGTAAGAAGTCACAGATGGCTGTCTCAAATCAACAACCGGTGCAGTGAACGAGCGAAGTGACGCGGTTATGTACGCAAAACAATCGCGTCAGACGCGTAAAACATCGTGAAACATGTAAGGAGTTGTTATCGTAAGTGCCATCGTGTTGAATTTTACGTTTCTTTTTGTTTCACAATACGGCCGATTACTAGTGAAAGCAAAATTTGGCTCGATCCGCCGTTATCTTTACGAATTGGTTTTATCGTCGGTGACGTACGGTTTTGGGGCACCGAGGCCAAACACGAATCGCTGTTCAAGGATGAGCGCGAACAATGTGCAAGCACTTTTCGCATGTTCAAGATGCTTTTCAAGGCATCCTTTTGAAGAACTTTCTCCAGGGCAACAATTGTGTAAGGTATTGCTTTGGATTTTAATATTTTTCCTCGGAAAATTTTCTTTACACTACTACTGATTCTTTTAAAGCGTCATTTTTCGTGTTTGCAAGATACGATGCTAATAATAGAATTTTTAATTGTTTCATATACAATTAATGCTGTTTTGCAATGAATAAAAATTTTGAAATAGGAATTAGATAAGAATTCAATTCTAATACAGATTCATTTTTACGGTCCAATTTAAGAATAATTGTACATATGTTTGAAAAAGTTAATTGTAATGTTTTAATCGATTTTGTTTAAAAAAGCCACATTTTGATAAAACAATTATTTAATTTTTAATTTGATAAATATTTTTTATATTTATATTCTTATAACATTATGCATTTTCTGTTTAAATTCTGTGTGAATATTAACCAATTAAATTTAATAATATAATGTAGGTTATTATAATTTTTACTTTTTTTTTTTTTTTTTTTAATTGAATTTTTACTATATTGTGTTGCTTATTTAGGAATGCAGAGGTGCATTTCCTGTGGTGAAATGTACATATTGTAGATCAGAATTCCAACAAACGATGTAAGCATCATATGTTATTTTACATTTTAGATTATGATATATTTTCAAACAATTTTATTTTTTATTTTGTAGAAAGGGTAATACAAGCACTATTTGTAAGAAATGTGAACAAAATGTGAAATCTTATGGTAAGCCATCGGCCTGTGAATATTGCAATACCATAGCTGCATTTATTGGTAGTAAATGTCAAAGATGTACAAATTCTGAGAAGCGTTATGGGCCACCAGTTACTTGCGAACAATGCAAACAAAAGTGTGCCTTTGACAGACAAGACGAAGACAAGAAGGTAATTGATTTTTGTATAATTATAACAAGATTTTTTTGAATTTGAGAATAATAATTATTAATATTTTATAAATTCAAAACAATCTTTTGTTGTACGAGAACATTACATACATATATATATATATATATAATTAATATATAATAATATAATAATAAAATAAATTATTATTATATTGGTTGAAAGGTTGATGGAAAATTATTATGTTGGCTGTGTACATTGTCATACAAACGAGCATTGGCAAAAACAAAACAATCCGATGCTGAAAGGAGGGCACATTTGAAATTAGCACAACAACGAGCAGCAAAGCACAAAGAACAAAAGTAATTATTCAAATACAAATAATGTCACAAGGTTTGTGGTTAGTAGTTTTAATTGTGTTCATCACAATTTCAGTATCTCTTCAATTGTAACACAACCTGGTAATGTTCAATGTATAAATATTCCATATGAATTCCTAGTCAATTTAATTATTTTGCTTCAGATTAAAGAGTCACAATAAGAGACCACACAGAGTAGATGTGACGAAGCTACCGCCTCAGTCCGAAGGTGCGGACACAAATGGTCCAACACCGGTGAAAGCAGCGCGAATGGTTGGTGTTCATGATCCACATGATCCCAATAGTTCGGATCATGTAGTCGCGGTTACACAACTTAAAGAAAAGATAGCTCATCTTCAAAAACAAATATCTATTAAAGATGGGCAATTACTTGCTAAAGATAGACAAGTAAGTATAAAAAAGAAAAAAAAATAATAATTTGAAATATATTCACATGATACTGATATATATAATTATTTTTGTTTTCTCAGATTACAGAATTGAAAGCAAAAAATTTTACATCAGAAACAGAGCTACGTAATAAAATGAAAGCGACAGAAAAAGAGTACGAAGCTAAAATATCGACGATGCAACACAAGATTTCCAGTTTGCTGAAAGAAGTTGCTTCCTTATCGAAGAGTTCTAAGCGAGGTGATAGAGTAGCTGCCACAAAAACAGAAGCTGGGACCAACAGTGGAAGCGGAACAGACAGTCCTGTACCTTGATAAGGTAGGACATTTCACATCCTCATTATTCTTTGTCAATTAATGTTCGTACGATCATATTCTATATTTACATTTTAATTCATCGACACAACATATTTATAATAATAAAATGTTGTAATTGAGTATATATTTAATGTTTGGAATGATGTTTCATTTGTGATTTAACGTTCTTGGCTTTTTAATGTTTTATCTCTGATAAGAGCCAAACGTTATCAGGATTCCATTTTTTGCGCTTTTTTTTTTTAATTGTGATCTATTATTTCCAAATATGTGTACAAGAATGTATTATTTTCGCTATCTTGTTCCTACATTTCCATACAATGTTGGAGTGATACAAGGCTCATACTGTTTTTTTTATTCTCAAATATTTTAATGTTACTATTGTTTTGCGATAGAAATTACGTATCCGAACGATATTATTTTAATACGATGATCATAGTAGTTTGTCATGAATTTTCTTATCATTCTTTTTTTTTTTTCGTTATGCGTTATCGTTGCCTATATACTTTGGATTTGAAATTTATAGCACCGCCGATAATTATGCTTGTGCTCTTTGCGATTATGTAAGATAGCACGAAGTAAATTTTTCGGTGCGTGTTTAAAAAGAAGTGTCTTTTTTTAGATTAAAAAAAAAAAAAAAAAAAAAAAAACGTATAATTTTTCTGCGAGATGAAAGAAGTCTTAACATTGTTTTCAGGGACTTGGTTAGCCGTGACAACATACTCAAATGTCCATACCCGCATAAATCATGTGGTACATTACATATAGCTAATTGTTTCCATTAACAAGGCAAAATCTGTATTATTTTTCTAATTAATATAGGAATATATATTGTCTTCGACGTGTACACGGAAAATCATACACGTTCTTCTTAAGGGGGATGATGATGATGATGATGATGATGATGATGATGATGATGACGATGATGCAAGTGCAAAGAAAGGTGTTATTCATAAGTTAGGTAGTTTCCCTCTTTCTGTTCCGTTTCATGACCATCCCGCAAACGCGAATTTTTGAGACTAAATATCGTGAAAAATTTGTTTATATTACGAAGAAACCGCCATTTCGAAATCGAATTGTACAATAATGAATCGGAGAGGCATTTGATCTCCGATAGAAGTGATTTTTAAATTAAAATTTACGATCGAAGTTGATACTTGCGAGAAATGAACAGAGTTATATGCAGACACATATACACATACACACACTATAATTGAGCAATAGTGCTGCTGTAACATTTTCCTATCTATAACG